AGTGTCTTTTCATACAGTAGACGTGCCCCTCTTTCTCTTGTAAATATGGAACAAATGACAAAGAGTAATTACAGTGCAGCGTTTGCATATGGATGATGGTTATTACCTGCAACCACTGCGTATCCCTGATGTGCTGCCAGGTTTCGGCTGATAACTGAGCCACTCTTCCCCTCGTCCAAGCTGCCGTTGATGAGTGAGAGAGGATAGAGAGACTGCAGGAGAGAGAGAGAGAGAGAGAGAGAGAGAGAGAGAGAGAGAGAGAGAGAGAGAGAGAGAGAGAGAGAGAGAGAGTTCAGCCCTGTTTGCCCTTATGAAAACAAAATATATTTCCCTATATATGAATGATCAATATATTAAATGGTTTAACAGTATATTTGAAAATAATATATTCTGTTAATATATTGCAATATAATGAATAATACATAAGGAATTGCTGCTTTTCATATATTGAAAAATATATGACAATATATTTACTAATATGACATAATGTAGTTATTTTATATTCAGTAATACACTTCTCATTGCTCTCCTTTAACAGTCAGAAGCAAAGCATGCTGGGAACTAGAAATCTGTTGTTACTTATTCCGTGAATGTGTGTGTGTGTGTTTATATACAGTATGTGTTTGTTTGTATGAACACACATTAATATTCACATTTATATGGGAACATGTATGTGCAATATCTGTACACAATAAAGGATAATACTTTGTGGATATTACATGTAGTGCTAATTTTGTCTTCATTTATAAATATTTTATATGTATCAATATATAGCCATTCATGGTCAATGCACATATTGCAGTATACAAAAAATATAAGCACTATTTCCCATATATGTAAAATGTATAATGTAATATATTGCATTATATTTAGCAGTATGTTCCCATGTCCTGTTGCACCTGCTCAGCTTTCCCAGTGCTGTGGCCGAAGGAGTCGGAGCTGAACTGGTTCCGCTGGAAGCCACAGTCCTGCTGGGTTGGGAAGTGTTCGGTCCGAAGATGTTTCCGGGATCCGGTCCCGCTTCCCTGCGAGTCCACACTGTGCCGACAGCTCTCCTGATCACCTGTCAATCAAACACCAATCTGTGTTTAAGACACTAAGTCGCGCGCGCGCACACACACACACACACTTCTGCAAATCCTGAAAACCACTGATTCACCACAGCTTTCACTCGTGACGGTCAAAGACTTTCAGCAATGCATTTTCCCTAATCCAACCCTGCCTGGAATTTTATTTTCTCCCTGATGTTAACAGCTATATACAGTCAAACCAAACATTATCCACACACCAGATATCAGTGTTTCTACTAGTGTGATCAGGACACTATAGTTCATTTCTGTAAGTGTGTTTTGTCGTTGTGAACTGAGCTATCATCATCGCGATCGCAGCACGTCCAGTCTGAAATACCACTTGATGATGGCCAAGCACACACACACACACACACACACTAACTCACTGTCGTCGCGGCTCCTCTTGCCCTCGGCGCCGGTCTGAGGGATTCCCAGTAAGCCACTGATGGAGTAGGTGGATCCCAGTGAGTCCGACTGGGGAGATTCGGGAGGCGTCACGGCTGAACTGGGAACTGAGCAGAAGCACACAGCATTATTACTGGACCGCAGTGAACTGGGAAACAGCATTATTGGGAATTATCAGTGGGTATTCTCACTCAGTGTGTGTCCAGGACTCAGGCCTTTACTGTCCAGAGGGAGATTGAAAGGCTGTTGAACTTTTGTGCGAATGATCCTGTGAGAGAAGAAACAGCGGGTGAGAAGAGTTCATCAAACCTCTGTTATATATGCTCTGACCTGTTGTCCATGAGGTCAGAGGTCATGTACCTGTTGATGGTGAGGTCAGAGGTCAGAGGTCATGTACCTGTTGATGGAGCTGACGCTGGGCACGGTGTCCCCGTCACACACTCCCTCGGCCAGCAGCCGGTCCCGGATCTCCCACGCGAACATGGTGGGGTTCTGGCGCTTGTACTCCGCGATCTTCTCCACCACTTTAGGGGTCGCGACCTTCGGCTTCGAGCCTCCAATGACCCCTGGTTTAATGCTGCCCGTCTCATAGTACCTGAACGAGAAATGACCATTACAACAAAACTCATGTACCTGCGGGTACATTTAATATTCAGCAATATTATTGGTCTCCTGCATTGACAGCATTATATGAGAACTGAACTGAGCTGGGCGATGACATCACGGTTTACTCCAGAGCGGCTATATATATTAAATTAATAACTCTTTTACAACAAAAATGAAACATCACCGAACTTACTTAAGCTGGACTGTGACGCTGTTTTCTTCAAGAAACAAACTTTGTTGCATTATTCTCCTGTTATCTCTGTAAAGCTGCTCTGAAACTCTGTGTTGTAAAAAGCGCTGTATAAATAAAGGAGACTTGACCTGCCGATACTGAGCTTCACTTTCACCCCTCTACTCACTTATTCTTTGTTTATATCTGCTAGATTTGATCTACTCCGTCTGTGTATATCATGCACTGTGTTGTATATTGTGTGTAACGTTAAATCAGGAGTACTTGATATATCACGTTTACTTTAGAACAAACCAGCACCAATTTCTTGCGAGTGCAACTTGGCCAATAAACGTAATCTTAATCATTCCAAGAGAGAACGTCAGATATGCTGAAACTGTGTCCGAAAACATTAGGCCATCCAGAAATAAAAACAACAAAAATTTAAAATACAAAAAATACTCTCTTTTTGTATTGAAAAACACTGCATTTGCTGCAGATTCAGTCACATTCAGTATGTCTGACAGTGGAGCACAAGAAACAGAACAAAACAATCAGTGAATGTTTAGAAAATGAATCCTGTGGTAGTTGAGTGTGTTTGGTGTGTGTGTTGTGTGTGGTGTGTGTGTGTGTGTGGTGTGTGTGGTGTGTGTGTGTGTGTGTGTGGTGTGTTTGGTATACCTTTTCTGTCAAAGATACTAGAAAAAGTCCAGGCCTGGACTATTTTATTTGATGATTATGTTTTATTTTGCGACAGCAGTCGTCCCTTCTGTTTTATTTTTGGCATTAAAGTCTGTTGAATGTTCACCGGTTCCCACCTCCTTCTTCCCACAACATCTAACCTTGTTACACTTCACAACTGTGTTCCTTTCTAGAAAGAAATGGAATCTGCGAGGATTTCCAGTCCGGATTTAGACCGTACCATAGCACCGAGACCGCTCTCATCAGAGTCACACATGATCTGCTCTTATCATCCGATCGTGGTTGTATCTCTCTATTAGTGTTACTGGATCTTAGTGCTGCATTTGATACTATCGACCACAATATTCTTTTAAATAGACTCGAAAACTATGTTGGCATTAGTGGAATTGCACTAGCATGGTTTAAATCATACTTATCAGACCGTTATCAGTTTGTAGCAGTAAATGAAGAGATGTCTTATCGATCACAAGTTCAGTATGGCGTACCACAAGGCTCAGTACTAGGACCGCTGCTGTTCACTCTGTAAATGCTATCCTCACACACACACACACACACACACACACACACACACACACACACACACACACACACACACACACACACACACACACACACACACACACACACACACTCTGTACATACATCTTTCCAATTCACAAAATTAATGGAATCCATATCTGATATAAAAAACTGGATGACTAGTAATTTCCTACTACTTAATTCTGAAAAAACAGAGATTCTAATTATTGGCCAAAAAACTTCCTCGCGTAGTAGAATACTGTCTAACACTTGATGGCTGCTCTGTCAAGTCCTCGTCGTCGGTTAGGAACTTGTGTGTGTGTGTGTGTGTGTGTGTGTGTGTGTGCTCTTTCATACCAATCTTTCATTTGAAAGCCACGTTTCTAGTATCTGTAAAACCACATTTTTCCATCTAAAAAATATATCTAAATTACGTCATATGCTCTCATTGACGAATGCGGAACAGTTAGTTCATGCGTTCATGACCTCAAGGCTAGATTACTGTAATGCTCTACTGGGTGGTTGCCCTGCACGCTTAATAAACAAACTCCAGCTGGTCCAAAACGCAGCAGCTCGAGTTCTTACCAGAACCAGGAAGTATGGTGTGTGTGTGTGTGTGTGTGTGTGTCTGTGTCTGTGTCTCTGTGTGTGTGTGTGTGTGTGTGTGTGTGTGTGTGTCTGTGTCTGTGTCTCTGTGTGTGTGTGTGTGTGTGTGTCTGTGTCTGTGTCTGTGTCTGTGTCTCTGTGTGTGTGTGTGTGTGTGTGTGTTTCTGTGTCTGTGTCTCTGTGTCTCTGTGTGTGTGTGTGTGTGTGTGTGTGTGTGTGTGTGTGTGTGTGTGTGTGTGTGTGTGTGTGTGTGTGTGTGTGTGTGTGTGGACTCTTCACCTGCCCAGGATCTTGCTGACGCACCCGTGACTGACCCTCAGTTGTCTCGAGATGTCGCAGGGTCTCACGCCCTGATGTGCCATATCCACGATCCTCTGCCGGATCACCTCGGGGAGCGGCCGGCCGTTCACAAACATTCCTCCGAGCTGATTCAGACCCCCATGACCTGGAGAACACACACACACACACATCAACATCAACACACAGTGAACACACATGAGCTGATTCAGACACCCATGACCTGGAAAACACACACACATCAACATCAACACACACTGAACACACATGAACACGATCATCACACACACTAAACACACATGAGCTGATTCAGACACCCATGACCTGGAGAACACACACACACACACACACACACACACACACACACACACATCAACATCAACACACACTGAACACACATGAGCTGATTCAGACCCCCATGACCTGGAGAACACACACACACACACACACACACATCAACATCAACACACACTGAACACACATGAACACGATCCTCACACACACTGAACACACATGAACACGATCATCACACACACTGAACACACATGAACACGATCATCACACACACTGAACACACATGAACACGATCATCACACACACTGAACACACTGAACACACATGAACACGATCATCACACACACTGAACACACTGAACACACATGAACACGATAATCACACACACTGAACACACATGAACACGATCATCACACACACTGAACACACTGAACACACTGAACACACTGAACACACATGAACACGATCATCACACACACTGAACACACTGAACACGATCATCACACACACTGAACACACTGAACACACTGAACACACATGAACACACATGAACACGATCATCACACACACTGAACACACATGAACACGATCATCACACACACTGAACACACATGAACACGATCATCACACACACTGAACACACATGAACACGATCATCACACACACTGAACACACATGAACACGATCATCACACACACTGAACACACATGAACACGATCATCACACACACACACATGAACACGATCATCACACACACTGAACACACTGAACACACATGAACACGATCATCACACACACTGAACACACATGAACACGATCATCACACACACTGAACACACATGAACACGATCATCACACACACTGAACACACATGAACACGATCATCACACACACTGAACACACATGAACACGATCATCACACACACTGAACACACATGAACACGATCATCACACACACTGAACACACATGAACACGATCATCACACACACTGAACACACATGAACACGATCATCACACACACTGAACACACATGAACACGATCATCACACACACTGAACACACTAAACACACATGAACACGATCATCACACACACTGAACACACATGAACACGATCATCACACACACTGAACACACATGAACACGATCATCACACACACTGAACACACATGAACACGATCATCACACACACTGAACACACGAACACGATCATCACACACACTGAACACACATGAACACGATCATCACACACACTGAACATACATGAACACGATCATCACACACACTGAACACACATGAACACGATCATCACACACACTGAACACACATGAACACGATCATCACACACACTGAACACACATGAACACGATCATCACACACACTGAACACACATGAACACGATCATTACACACACTGAACACACATGAACACGATCATCACACACACTCAACACACATGAACACGATCATCACACACACTGAACACACTGAACACGATCATCACACACACTGAACACACATGAACACGATCATCACACACACTGAACACACATGAACACGATCATCACACACACTGAACACACATGAACACGATCATCACACACACTGAACACACATGAACACGATCATCACACACACTGAACACACATGAACACGATCATCACACACACTGAACACACATGAACACGATCATCACACACACTGAACACACATGAACACGATCATCACACACACTGAACACACTGAACACGATCATCACACACACTGAACACACATGAACACGATCATCACACACACTCAACACACATGAACACGATCATCACACACACTGAACACACTGAACACGATCATCACACACACTGAACACACATGAACACGATCATCACACACACTGAACACACATGAACACGATCATCACACACACTGAACACACATGAACACGATCATCACACACACTGAACACACATGAACACGATCATCACACACACTGAACACACATGAACACGATCATCACACACACTGAACACACATGAACACGATCATCACACACACTGACTGCTGGCTCTGTGAGTCTCAGATTATATTTCATTCGTCTCATAATAAATCCACAGGTTTCTCTTGTATTGCCAAATCATATTTACACTCTTCTGAAAGTTACATATGAACAGTCCTAACAACTGTCTCCAGAATAAAACTTTTTCAGATTCCTTTTCACACTGTAAAAATGATTTTATATCACTTACTACTCTATGATCTCTACAACATTTCCAATGTTTTCTCAGCTTCTCAGGATTTCTCTCTCTGTCCCTATAAACTCCCCAATGCCTTTATTTCCACACACTCCTCCCTCAAAACCTCAGATAAACCCACGGGTCGAGTATATGGACAGTATATATCATCGGGTCGAGTATATGGACAGTATATATCATATGGTCGAGTATATGGACAGTATATATCATCGGGTCGAGTATATGGACAGTATATATCATCGGGTCCAGTATATGGACAGTATATATCATCGGGTCGAGTATATGGACAGTATATATCATCGGGTCCAGTATATGGACAGTATATATCATCGGGTCGAGTATATGGACAGTATATATCATCGGGTCCAGTATATGGACAGTATATATCATCGGGTCGAGTATATGGACAGTATATATCATATGGTCCAGTATATGGACAGTATATATCATCGGGTCGAGTATATGGACAGTATATATCATCGGGTCCAGTATATGGACAGTATAAATCATCGGGTCGAGTATATGGACAGTATATATCATCGGGTCCAGTATATGGACAGTATATATCATCGGGTCCAGTATATGGACAGTATATATCATCGGGTCGAGTATATGGACAGTATATATCATATGGTCGAGTATATGGACAGTATATATCATCGGGTCCAGTATATGGACAGTATATATCATCGGGTCCAGTATATGGACAGTATATAGCATCGGGTCGAGTATATGGACAGTATATATCATATGGTCGAGTATATGGACAGTATATATCATCGGGTCGAGTATATGGACAGTATATATCATCGGGTCCAGTATATGGACAGTATATATCATATGTTCGAGTATATGGACAGTATATATCATCGGGTCCAGTATATGGACAGTATATATCATCGGGTCGAGTATATGGACAGTATATATCATCGGGTCGAGTATATGGACAGTATATATCATCGGGTCGAGTATATGGACAGTATATATCATCGGGTCGAGTATATGGACAGTATATATCATCGGGTCGAGTATATGGACAGTATATATCATCGGGTCGAGTATATGGACAGTATATATCATCGGGTCGAGTATATGGACAGTATATATCATCGAGTCCAGTATATGGACAGTATATATCATCGGGTCGAGTATATGGACAGTATATATCATCGGGTCCAGTATATGGACAGTATATATCATCGGGTCCAGTATATGGACAGTATATATCATCAGGTCGAGTATATGGACAGTATATATCATCGGGTCGAGTATATGGACAGTATATATCATCGGGTCGAGTATATGGACAGTATATATCATCGGGTCGAGTATATGGACAGTATATATCATCGGGTCGAGTATATGGACAGTATATATCATCGGGTCGAGTATATGGACAGTATATATCATCGGGTCCAGTATATGGACAGTATATATCATCGGGTCCAGTATATGGACAGTATATATCATCGGGTCGAGTATATATCATATGGTCCTGCATATGGACAGTATATATCATCGGGTCGAGTATATGGACAGTATATATCATCGAGTCCAGTATATGGACAGTATATATCATCGGGTCGAGTATATGGACAGTATATATCATCGGGTCCAGTATATGGACAGTATATATCATCGGGTCCAGTATATGGACAGTATATATCATCGGGTCGAGTATATATCATATGGTCCTGCATATGGACAGTATATATCATCGGGTCGAGTATATGGACAGTATATATCATCGGGTCGAGTATATATCATATGGTCCAGCATATGGACAGTATATATCATCGGGTCGAGTATATGGACAGTATATATCATCGGGTCGAGTATATGGACAGTATATATCATCGGGTCGAGTATATGGACAGTATATATCATCGGGTCGAGTATATGGACAGTATATATCATCGAGTCCAGTATATGGACAGTATATATCATCGGGTCGAGTATATGGACAGTATATATCATCGGGTCGAGTATATGGACAGTATATATCATCGGGTCGAGTATATGGACAGTATATATCATCGGGTCGAGTATATGGACAGTATATATCATCGGGTCGAGTATATGGACAGTATATATCATCGAGTCCAGTATATGGACAGTATATATCATCGGGTCGAGTATATGGACAGTATATATCATCGGGTCGAGTATATGGACAGTATATATCATCGGGTCGAGTATATGGACAGTATATATCATCGGGTCGAGTATATGGACAGTATATATCATCGGGTCGAGTATATGGACAGTATATATCATCGGGTCGAGTATATGGACAGTATATATCATCGGGTCGAGTATATGGACAGTATATATCATCGGGTCGAGTATATGGACAGTATATATCATCGGGTCGAGTATATGGACAGTATATATCATCGAGTCCAGTATATGGACAGTATATATCATCGGGTCGAGTATATGGACAGTATATATCATCGGGTCGAGTATATGGACAGTATATATCATCGGGTCCAGTATATGGACAGTATATATCATCGGGTCGAGTATATATCATATGGTCCTGCATATGGACAGTATATATCATGACATACAGCAGCACAATCTGCCTGATGAAGAATATTCATCTTTAATAACTCTAACTCTGTTCAGATTCAAGAGCTCATTATAAGATATGAACTAATAATAACCACTGCTATAATATATTTTAGCCATGAACGTGTTTGTGTTAAATAACCTACAGTAAGGCAGTTAAAACTATAAAACATTCAAAGGTTTCTCAAAGGGACAGAATATTGTTTGAATGAAATTCATTGCACTGGGTTGTACGTGTAATAATAAAATAAATGAATGTGCACTTGTAAAAATATTTTAATAATAAATATAAGATGTTCATAATAAAACTATTAGTCAGTCATAAGTATTTTATTATTACTATTATCTTTGTTGTTGTTTTTAGTGCCTAGAAAATTGATTTAATTAAAAACGGCAGATTTTAATGTTCGTTTTTCGTGTTTTTGTCATGCGCCCTTTTGTGAGGAAACGCTCGCGCTTCAGTGACTCTCTTTAATTTAACCCGTTCATTCTCTTCTTTCTCTCTCTTTAATTTAACCCGTTCATTCTCTTCTTTCTCTCTCTTTAATTTAACCCGTTCAGACTCTTCTTCCCCTTTTGCTCTTTTGCAGCTTCATTTCCACATCAAACGGCGCTATTAACGGTGTTAGCGGAGTGTGTCAAACTCTCCTCGCCCAGAGTCAGCGAGCCACAGGATATTAAAGCAGAGAAACCCCAGGAGAACACACACACACACACACTCTCTCTCTCTCTCTCTCTCTCTCTCTCTCTCTCTCTCTCTCTCTCTCTCTCTCTCTCTCTCTCTCTCTCTCTCTCTCTCTCTCTCTCTCTCTCTCTCACACACACACACACACACACGCACACACACACACACACTCTCACTCTCTCTCTCTCTCTCTCTCTCACACACACACACACACACACACACACACACACACACACACACACACTCTCTCTCTCTCTCTCTCTCTCTCACACACACACACACACACACACACACACACACACACACACACACACTCTCTCTCTCACACACACACACACACACACACACGCACGCACACACACACACACACACACACACACACGCGCGCGCGCGCGCGCACAATACACACACACACCAAGCAAAGGCTTAAAGACTGGTTCGGTTTATATCATCGATTTTAATAGTTTATGTTAATGTTGTGTTAGGGTTAGGGTCATGGCAAATTTTTTTATTTATTAATTTATTAAAGTAGATTTTAACGAGGCTTTTTGGCTAACTATAGCGCTATCGCAAACTATAGCGCATCGCTTACAAAATTGTTTAAATTTTGTTTTGTTTAATTTTAATTAGTTTAAAGCGATTTTTTCTTGTTTTGCTGCAGACTTTAGATACTCTGTTTTGATATGGCATTATGAACCCTCAATTGCATAAAATTAATGATTTATTTCAGTACGCATAATGGGAAAAGAAAATTCCCGAGATAAAATTTCACAAATTTAGACAATAATAATCGTATTTCGATAAATGCATTCGAATACAGAAATCATTTAAATTGTACATTACTTCTAATATATGGAAACGAAAGGAGAAACTGATCATGTGAAAATGAGAGAGAAATTGTAGGAAACCCTTATACAAAAAAAGTATTATATGTGTTGTTGTACAAAGTAATTTAAAACATATTATAGCGCGTAAAAGCAACCCGTTAAAACGCAATATTAGCGACACTGATAAATTAATTTTCATGTAAAGAGAGAAAAGCGGGAAAGCAGTTTAACACAAAAACTGTGTTTCACCATCGCGCAATAATACAGTCCGAGATTCGGGGAAATCAGTCAATATCCCAGCAGTGTTTACATGTCTATTACTGAAATATCGACAGAAGTCCGTGTGTTATATGATGATCATGCTCGTTTATTCAGGACTGTTTAACACACTAACCCTCTAAACGAAAGTCAATAATATCTGTGCGAGTAAAGACTTTCTGTCCGAATCTCTCAGATTATTCTGCAATCCAATCCAAAGATTAACGAGGTTTATTCATAAACATATCAAATTCAGACCAATTACATTCACGAACGGAAGGATTTGTGTTATGATTGTGAGTTATATCTAATTTGGTTATTTGTTATCAGCGGTATTCACGAGTTCGTATATTAGTAGACTATATTAGTTCTTCTTGACACATCATTTATTATAATAAAATGCCAAACCACTACTGTCAATTTATGGACATTTAGATGTTCTATATTGTTTTAACATTTGATAGTAAATTAACAAAAGCTATTTGTAAAAGAAATAAACCTTTTAAGAAGGAAGGTTAGTCTGCTATTCGCGGACTTGTACACTGATGAACATTATTGTGAAATATAATGCCTGAATAAATGTCCCGATTGCGGTACTTGTTCTTCATTTTTAGACATGTGATGTCGGTATATAGACTTCAGAATAACGAGTTTATTATTTTACCTCGCCCAGTAGTGATGGACATTTCTCAGAGAAGTCTCGGTCTCTTGATGTCCAGGTTTTTTGTCCACGTGTTTCTGTGTTTTAGTCCATATGAGGTCTGGCGTGCAAATGCCCCTGCGCGGACAGTTTTATTCCCTGCAAAAGGACATTTTATGGTGAACCTGACAGTTACGGCTATTGTTATATTATTATTTAATATTTGTTAATGGCTATTTGCATAACTGGCTATTTGCATAACACAGACTCTCATCTTCGATTCTTAAGCACTGTATGTTTAGTCGAAGAGTTTGTATCGTCAAGCTCCTCGTGTTTGAAAGAATCACTCAGAGATTTGGGTGCGTTATAGCGCGTTATAGGCCTGTTGTAGATTATGAGGATTATTTCTCAGAAGTTATTGGCTGAAGAATCTGCAGGTATCAATAAGTTTACCCCATTAAATCCACATCACATCAATGCGCACACATAAATATATAATAATGCATGTTTTACCTTCTGGAGAAGAAACGCTTGGGAATATCCGACGGCTTTTATCCAGCGCCACAGTGTCAGTTATAATGGCACATATTGTGTGTGTGTGATCAGAGTTCCTCCAGTAGTGTGTGTGTGTGTGTGTGTGTGTGATCAGAGGTCCTCCAGTAGTGTGTGTGTCTGACGGGCCCGCGGAGGCTTTATCGCGGAGACTCTCACGCGCTCAGGACGCGCTTCGCCATTGGACGACGCGTTATTTGGGGGCGTGTCCGCCGGATGACGTGTCCAGACCGACCTGTGCGCATGGGTGATTCCGGGGGTTCGAGCGCTTCCAGAACACAACAAAACACCGAGCGATACGTCAACGTTTACGGAAATATTAGTGAAGGATCGGGCTTGTTTTCATTCACCCTCAGTGATTAGATGCGCGATGTGAACGCGCTCATCCTTCACACACAGTTGGACTCTTGATTTGCTATAATCTGCTGTTATATCATATATAACATGACAAATACCTGATCCCTCACTTGACGGATACCAGCACAATGGTTTACAATGGTTTACCGACAAATAATAATAATAATAATAACAATAATGACTGGGTTTTACCAATGTATTATTTTTGTTATTTTTTAATGATTGAATTTTATCAATGCATTTCATTATAATTATTATTAATAATACAATGAAAACCATGACTAGATGGTTTTATCAATTAATGTATTATTATTATTATTGAATGAATTTGATCAATAGGCTATATTTCATCATAATTTATTATTATTAATGAAAAATAACAATGACTGGATGGTTTTATAAATTAATGTATTATTATTATTATTATTATTATTATTAATGACTGAATTTAATAAATGCATTTCATTAATAATAATACTAATAATAGTAGGCCAATAATAGGCGGATGATTATGCCTCTATAATCGCTTGCAGTGGAAAGTCCTTTGCTTTAAATGTCCGGCATGAAAAGGTTTTTATTGCGCTGTTTGGGAGCTTCTAAACTAACTCTCAGCGGGGTCACAGGATCCCCGAGCATCTTCACACACTCTCTGTTGTTCTCACAACTTTAAAACAAACACAACAAGCCGAATTACTCCTTTATGGCACCCGTGGTTTGGCCTTTGCCATATGGCGCGTGTCAGGACAGAGAGAGTCTTTATTAGCGCAGTTCCACACAAACATTAATGAACGAACGAACTAAAGGAGGATGAGTGTTAATATAAAGCTTTGTGCTTCCGTTAGACTCGAGATGACATGTCTGTGGCCTCAGTAAGAGGATAATTAAACCACATTACAGGCTTGAAAAGAAAAATAAGACAGGTCAAAATCACTCCATATTGTTATCTTGTTGTTCCTCTGAAGGCTCTTTCATTTCTTTCATTCGTATTCATGCCTTCTCCGCTGTGTCGTGTAAATACAGCGAGTGCGGAACAAAGTGCGTGTGTTTTCAGATAAATACAGAGTAAAGAGAATCACAGAGTAAATGGAAGCAGAACATTCCTTTCTTGAGCGTAAAAGAGTGAAGCAGGAACGCCCGAGGAGAGGGCAGAAGCGGAGGAAGAGGAGCGGGGTGAAGGAGAGGTTATCAGGGATTAACAGATATCATCTGCGCTTTCATCATCATCAGCAATATCGGATACTAAATTAATGGCGCATTAAACGCGCAAAAGTGGTTAGTTATTTCTTTAATCGAGTAACTAAATATAAGAAATGATGAAACCAAGAAAAGAAAAAGCACATTTCTCTGAAGAGTGTTCGAGTTGCTGTTCATGCGCATTCATGAAACATTAGTGTAAGATTTGATTTTGAGAGAGTGTAGGGTTAGGGTTCACTGTGACCAATGCCCGTTACATGTTAACAGCCGGTTCATTATGGCACGGCTATATGTAATTAAATATTTGACAGGGACAGAATATTAACATTGTTTATGTTTAATGGACAGATTTGCTGCGAAACTCTGCAATTATATTTTAAAGTTAACTTGAAATATTAGTTTATGGTTTACTGCGAGAAAGTTTCTGTGAAATTTACCTTGATAAACACGATAACGCTGGAAATATCGATATCAGTCTAGCATCTCGTTTTTAAAGACTAATTCATTCCCCCCGGTTTCGTATACAGGCCTGTGTATTAAAACCCACGAAGGTCGGAATGACTCTCCACAATATACCACAATATTGCCAAAGCAATACATATACAAACATATAGATACATTAATAAATAAATAAAACATTTCCATATTTTACATAAATATATCACAATAAAAAAATAAATAAAAATAAAATAAAAAGTACAGAGAGGAAAAGAGGGTTCAGCCATTTCATATGATGGCACGGAGACACACACTGCGCTGCCAGGTGAACACACACACACACACACACACACACTCTCTCTCTCTCTCTCTCTTCTCTCTCTCTCTCTCTCTCTCTCTCTCTCTCTCTCTCTCTCTCTCTCTCTCTCTCTCTCTCTCTCTCTCTCTCTCTCTCTCTCAATTCAATTCAATTCAATTCAAAATTGCTTTATTGGCATGACTGTACACAATACAATATTGCCAAAGCTTGGAATGCATAAAGACATCAAAATAATAAAATA